TCGAATCCCACACCATACGAATTCTAATTAATTTTTTTATTGCTTGGCAAATTGAGCCGAACAAGAGTCAATTTGAACAAAACAATCAATATCGAGCCAAACACGAACAAATTTCTTACGGGTCTAATTTGAAGACGAGCTAATTCCAATGAGTCAAATACAAACTAAGCGCTCAAACTTGGCTTGTTTAGACTCCTAGCCCATAGCGTTCAATGGAACACTTCAACATATAAATGATTGCAGCATGCCCTTTGTTGTGCTTTATGATTTTCCTTAGAAGTATGCTAGAAACCAAAGCGAGTGTTGAAAATGAGAATTTAAAAATAATGTGGTAATGCTAGGATGCACAAAAAGATTATATTCAAAAGAATGGGAGTAGCACTTAGTAAAAGATGAGAGAATGTGGAATAATTAGGTGATATTTCAAAGATGCAAAAATAGATGCTTATAACTGGGTGCACTTAGTTACCTGGTAGCATTCATATGTTGATTTCTATGTTCATGGCAGTTTTTGATCTGTTTTCTGTAGGGATGTATGCAAAGGTGAGAAGGTGCTACTGATGTAACTCTTCCCTAGGTGGTGTTTATCTATTTTTTTTTTGCATCCAACAGCCTTTCCTCCGTTGTTGCCATCGCCATGTTTGCTGCAGTCACCTGAAAACATGCCATTTGTTGTTTTTCTGCAGCTGTCTACCTCCCAACCCTATCCCATCTTGCTGCCATCCCTTCCAGCCACCTCTCACCCTGATGCCACCCCCTTCCAGTCGTCTTCCTTGATGCCGTGAGCCTCCTTACCCTTTCCATCACCCTGCAGCCACCTCCCTACTACAGCCACATCATCACATCTTGCCGTCACCGACCTTCCAGCCATCAGACAACCAACCATTATCTTCCATCGTTGCCTTTGGACCATCCAACCCATCCTTCCTTGCTATTTCTCCTTAAACTGCATCACCACCCTCCTTGACCCAAGCCTAAATTGAGTTTATATTGTGTCTTTTGCTATTTCTAGTTTCGAGCATCTTTGGTTGTATTCTCTATTTGATTTCTGTAATAGAAGTTGCATTTTTGCTGTCATTTGGGGTCAACTAAATATACTATTCAAATCAAGAGCCATAACAACCTCTTCACTTTCATCATCTTTAGAAGAATCATCAAATGTAATAATCTATCATCATTTGATTCTACTTCATTGGCGCACGTTTTTCTTTTTACTACTTTTATCAATTAGCATTAAATTCAATATTTTTTAAAATAAAACATAAATATTAATACAATAAATAATTATATTTAAATTATTTTTTGTTTTTTTTGTGACATTAAATCAGATATATTAGTTATAAGTATAATATAACATAATATGATATATAATAAAATTATAACATAATATAATTTTTTTTCTCAACTTTATTGAGGCGTCTCCTTGAGAACTAAAACCTCAAGGCGTATGCCTCAGCAAAAAAAAAATAAGCCTCATTGATAACAGTGGGGCTTACGTCTCGAAGTATTTCTTGTGTGCCTCAATTGGAGGCGCACCTTGTGGCATGAACCTCGAAACGGCTTTTTAAATGCACTAAGATAATGACTGTTTATTATTGTTATTTTATTATTTTTTATTTTTATTAATTTTAATTTTCTGAGGTAATGACTTGAGAAGTAACCTAATACACCAAATCAAGGGAAAACTACAAAACCTAATAAAATTCTATAGCTATAAGAATTACATGGGAACTTAAAATCTCTGTTTATGAAAATTAAATTACAAAAGCTTTGCCCGCACAGAAGTCCATAGAACCGTAACTTAGGAAAGGCCAACCAGGAATTGTTTTCTATGTTTTCACCATGAGAACACCCTTCATAAATCGGATGGTTGTTTTATACTTGGCTGGGAATATATTACTATCCAGTGCAGTGTCCCTTGCAGACTCGACACAACCTAACGATTCATCCAATACCAATTCTCTGTGCCTACCGCTACCGATACTCGACTCCTTTCAGATATCAGACTTTGACTAGAGAAAGAGCTAGTGGAAAGAAAAAGGCGAGAGTTTTGAGAAGATTCTCTCGTGGGGCTCACGAGATTGCCCTAATAGGGCAGATTAGATGGTAAGATAAGATGGGCACAACCCGGTAGTTTTTTTTTTTTTTTAGTTTTATTTTTATAGGGCACAACTAGGCAGTTAATTTATTTGTAGAACTAAGACTCCAAGACAAGCAAACCAGTTAAAAATTGAAGAACCTAATGTAGAAGATTTCCTGGGTTATATACTTGTATGCTTGATTTAAGGAGTTCCTTTAGAAAGAACTGTAGCCATGATTTTTTCTTGATCCCACTGCCCCAAATTCTTAGCATCAATCATCTGAATGTTCTGTGGGCTGACTTTCTGTAACCACCATTTCATTGCCCTGCCGTTATTCCTAAAAGAAAGACGATTGCTAAAAAGTGCCCATGAATCTGTTATTTTCACTCCTCTTCTGACCAAAAGTTCTTAAACTCTCTTCGCAAAGGGTATATCTGCTATGGTCTATTGCAAATTGGATTGGAAACAAGGTTTGCTGGAATTCCAGCAAACCGCAATTCAACTCAAGAGAAGAGAAGTAGATAACTGCCCACAAAGAAAAAACATCAAACATTAAAGATTAGGCCTCGGAGAACTTGGAGTTTTCTTGTATTTCAAATTGGGCAGCCTGATGTCCACTTTTGCATTTCTTTATGGCAGAATTTCTTCCAGAATTTGCAATATCCCTTCAGTTATTGAGGCAAGCTGATTCTACCTACCGCTTTCTAGTTGGATAGAGCCTTATCTTGGCTTGCAACTGTGACGCTTTGCAACTCCCTCGAAATCAAGTTCAATCACCGGAACCTATTGCCACAGCCAAGCTCAGCTAGGGGTGAAGATATACATGGGTCTAGTGATCAATCTTGTGGAATCCCAGAACTACATTTTCTTGTCTTTGCCTCCAAACTTGGAAAAATCCACCCCAAGGGTAAGAAAATCCTTTGTAAATAGGATAAAAAATGCCCGTTAACACCTAGGACCCTATTTATTGAACCACGCTATCTAAGCAAATAAATGAAAAGATGCACTATAAGTAAATTTTTCAATAGAGATGACCATCCTATCTTTGGCTGTCAGACATATTGTGTAGGTGCACTAATAAGATACGGTTCACAGGATGGATAGGACTAGGAAGACAATGGATTAAATTGATGATAAAATGGTTTGAAGTGCAAAAAGAAGTAAACTTCTGTAGAAAATAGACAAACGACTAAAGATTGATCCCAAATAGTTAGGTTTTGCTAAAGATGATGATTTAACAAGCTTAAAAGTTGTTGGAGCATTATTTTGGCCCTTGACATGTTTATCCACATCAACTGGCATTTCATTATTTTTGTTTCAGAACATGCTGTATGATGCCTACACCATTTGATCTTTGTAGAAGCTCCAGTTAGTTGTCTTATATGATCCCACTTTTCTGTTATTTTTCATTGGCTTGATGTAACTTGTTTTCATATGCTCGCATCAGCTGTATTATATAAAAGTTGGCTTAGTTTTTGATGAAATCTCTTTTTGTTTCTCTACTGTGTAAGCTGCTAACTTGCTCATCAACTCAATATTTGGTATTTGGAGAAGCTCCATTTAGTCGTCTCATATGATTTTTTTTTTTGGCATTTTTTGTTAGCATGATTTAAACGTGTTTTGATATGCTTCCATCAGATATAATAGTCTATAAATGTTCGATTGGTTTTTGGTGAAATCACCTTTTCTTGTTTATATTATGCAAGTTGCTAACTTGCTCATCGACACAGCTGTAGGAGGTGCTTTTTCTTTAGTTCTTTCCAAACTTTCCAGTCAAATGACAAATTTCCCTGTATTTCTTCTTGGAGATATGCATTGAAAATTTGAGTACACTCATAAGATGGATATATAAAATTAACGTAGAAGTATTAGGAAGAAAAAAATTCGTACAGATAGAAGTGCAACATATCTGAACTCATGCGATTCTCAACATGAATTAATAGAGAATGAGGATTTATAATGCTAGGCTCAAATAGTTGGGATAAGGTTAGAGATGTTAATGGTCATTATCATAATTTGGTCTATTCCTACTATTTCACGTTGTTTTTATGAATTCTCTTTTTTTAATTTGTTCACATTGTGTGTTTCATGTTAAACCTATTATTTGCAAATCATTTTGAACAATTTTTACCCATAGTACCTTCGGCACACTCCTTCCTCCTAATCCAAGACACTTTTTTATTACTCATTTAATGATTTATTTTCTACATTTCATTGTACATATGGATAAATCACCAGTTTGATTTTAATCACCTTATCTTTAATCAAGATCATTCCAATTGCTTCTATATATATTTATTATGAATTATTAGCTTAGCTGCACATTCAATTTTCATTTATCATACTCAAGTTAGGTATCAATTATTTGCTTACTTTATAGCACTTATTTTCATACATCTAATTGCAATTTTATAAATTTATATTTTTAGGTTTTTAAGATATTCTGTTTTTGCGTAGTAATTCCAAGTTTTTTCTTCATTTTGACCACTCAAACTTGACTTTAAAGCCATAGTGTCATGGGCATTCTCATTATTTTGCATATTGTTCCTTTATCATCATCATCATTAGCTTTATTCCAACTATTTGGGATCGATTTCATTAATCCTCAAAGTTTTATTTGTCTTTCTAAATTCTCACTTTTCATTTGTTTTTCATCCTAGTCATTATTCTACTAATTTTATATCCTCGATAATCTCTTAACCCTAATTGCTATTATGTTGAAATTTCTTGTCTGTAAACAGACACGTCGATCATCTCTCCTTAAATTGTAAGACAGGTCTAGATTTGACTGAAATACTTTTATTTATTTATTTATTTTCATATTTTTTGCATTCTTCAATTGTTCTCTCAGACTTCTTAAGTACTGTTGTAACTGCTGTCGATTTGTCCCTGATTTCCATAGTGCTAACTGCTGCACAGATGGAAAAGCCTGAAGTGTCAATTGGTAAGCATGCGATCTCATAGCGATGCGAAGGGCATGGAGATGAAACGACCAAATGATTCTATATACAGTTTTCCATGTCCGGATTGTATGTGTCGCTCAAATAATACAGAAGTATTGAAATCCTCACCTGCGCGATGATACCATGCCAAATTCTGGCAAACTCTTACATCCTAATTCACTTAATTTTTGAATTGAAGTGGCACTCATTCTTTGATTGGCATTCTGTCGGACGCTCCTGCAGAGAGCACATTGCTCCTATTCTTTTTTCCAGTGGGATGATTGCATCCCTTTGTACATTCTAAGATCAACAGAGGATGGCGATAACTGTGCTTGGCCTGTGTTCAACATTCATTGCATCTAAAATACTGCCTCCTCGGTTTTGACACAGTAGCTGGCAGCTTGTATATGAATTGATTTTTTTGGTTCAGCATAATGGTTGCAGATTTCAGCGAGAGAGGGAATAGGGTTTTGTTTTAGTTTTACAGCTTGTGGGGCCGAGCTTTTTTTTGGGTCTCATATTATTTTGGTGTATTTGGTCATGCTCCCATTGAAGTTTTGTATTAGTTTTATGCTGTTGAAACAAGCTTTTTTTTGTGTATTACTTTGTCATGAACAGAAAGGCCATGCCAGACTAGCTAATTAAAGGAAACTTTCTTCAAGTTCTGCTGAATTTATTTATTTTTAATTATAATTCAGCATTTGTTAACTTGTATAGCTGTTTTGAATCCTTGTAACATTTTTTCGGTCTTTTTGTTAGCCAAATAGGTGAAACTATTTCATTGAAGAAAAAATAAAAAAGTGGCTGTTTGATTTGTTAATTATTGTTGATTTGGGAAGTTCAAATGGTTTCGACTTTGATATGATGTAATTTTGCATTATCCGTGGTAGAGTGGTTGTGGTTCAATCAATATTTAATTAAATTGTACTGATATGATGGCAGCATCAATTTTTTACCATATTAGAAAGTGTGATTCTAACGTAAAAAGTTGTCTTTCTTTTATTTCTCTGTTTTCTTTTGTACTGGGTTCGCTTTTAGCATTTTGTGGAACTGAACATAATTCTAAGAGGGTGTTTGGCTGCATCAAGAATTAATATGAGCAGGATTTAATAGATCTAGTAAATCCGGTTAATTTAAATTTAAATTGTATGTTTGGTAATATAACAATTAAAACTAATTAAATTTGTAATATGTGATTGGCATTTGTTTTAGGATATAAAATTTGTATTGCTTACTAATATGGCTGCAAACCATAGAGCATGGGGAAATGCATGAGGACTTTCTAAATCCTTCCTGCTCATCATTTGATCTAAATAGTTGGATCCCTAAATACATCAAAACCAACCAGTCAAATATGCCTTATTCTTCACCAAAGTTTTTCCAGTTCGCCCTTCTAAAGGGTAGTGTTTTCGTTGCAACTATGCCAAAAGGTTTTTGAGACATTAAATTTCAGTCAAGTGAATCTATGTTCCAATTTCTTTCGAACTCAATTTAGTTCCAGGAATGATAATTGGAATTATGAACTTATTTCAATGTTGGACGAAAATCTTTTCTTTGGTAAGAAAGCAAAATTTTAACAGACAGTCTTAGATTCTAACAAAAGGGCCTTTCTCGATGGTTTCTAGTAGAATTGGAGCAGGATGAGAAAGATGGGAGTATCAGTGTCTCTGTACACAACAATCTTATACTGGCTTTCCTTGCTAGCTCTAATAGGGATTGTATCGCCAGGGTTCATTGACGAAGGCGATCGTTTTGAATGAAACAGGGAGAGAGAGAGTGATGTAGGCAAGGTTTCATTCTTCTTCTCCTCTGCAAAGACGAGCTATGAATAAATGAAGCCAGCTGTCGTGGAAAGATGATGAAGCACGCGGTTGTTAAATCCATTTCTGGGTCGGATTTAGTAAATCTAGGATTTATGTAACATTGATGAAATTTTTGGATTTAGCTGGACGGAGACATTTGATAATTGAAAAAAGATGTTTGGTGGATTTATGTTAATTACGGACGTAAATCCACCCTAAATAAGCCTTCCAAACACTCTAAGAGGGAAATGAGCATGTTAAATTTTTTGTGCATAATGGTCAGCGAGGCGATGATATTTTGTTTTAAATATACGTGTGAATGAACAAAAATGTTAAATAGGCAAATTATAGACCAACAATGATTTCATGGTTATATAGAAGATACAAAAATCTGATTTGCAAAGATTTTAGGCTGGTAGTTGGTACGAAGTAATTGAACAAGAAAGAAAAGTGAGCATAATATAAAGTTTTCATTTGCTTGGCAACCTCAAGTTTATTTCTCACCTTTTAAAGTATACCATTGGAAATATTAGAGACCATCTTCATCAAGCCCTCAATGTATGGATGTGAACGGATCGAGATACAATTACAACGATTGCCAACTATTCATCCGATAAATTATGAGGTTTTAAATTTCTTGAAACCCTACAAACAATGAAATTGGAGGACACTTATAGTGATCCTTTCGTCAGGAAGATGAAAATTTAGACTTTTAAAATATTTATTTACAGCCCAAAAGACGAGTTAGAAACTTCCTTGAATTACAGTGACTTTGCTTGCTTCGCATTTGTGAACCTTAAATAGCATTGATTTGATGTAATCAGGATGCTTTAATGCATGTTAAGGCTCTCTTAATCGTTTCTATTTTTTGATGACGTTAAAAAATGATCTTTGTTGTATCTTTTTTCTCGATTATTAGATTGTCAGCGTTCTTTTATAGAACAACTCAATTATCTTTGATGACGATAAAAAATGATCTTAGTTTTATTGGCTATATCAATACAATTAAAATATAACAAAATTAACATGTTTTTACTCCGAACCTAATATAATTGCTCTTAAAATGGTGGTTTTTTTTTTGTCAAGTGCATGTTAAGGCTCTCTTAATCGTTTCTATTTTTTTATGACGTTAAAAAATGATCTTTGTTGTATCTTTATTCTCGATTATTAGATTGTCAGCATTTTTTATAGAACAACTCAATTGCTCGTGTGGCATCAAAGGCTTTGAAATGGAAAAAATTATTAGGCGTTGATTCCATACATGCAGATTTTTATGTATTTTTGTTTTATTGGCTATATCAATACAATTACAATATAACAAAATTCACATGTATTTACTCCGAACCTAATAATTTCTCTTAAAATGGTGTTTTTTTTTTTGTTAAATTTTTGTCAAGGATCGGAAATAATGATTGTTGTATCATCATCGCTAGGCTTTTGTTGTTGGCTTTCTGACTTGATTTAGTTGAAGGTATATTAGAATTATTTTGGAGTAGATCATTTGGTTTTTTATCCAATGAGAATATGATATGATGCATTAATTATAGATAAGAAAAAGAAATTTTCATTACAACTCCATACAAGAACTAGATAATGTTAAAAAACTATAAATATGTCAAATTCTTACATCTAAAATTCTGAGAAATTTAAGATTTGCAATGAAACTAAGAGCTTAGACCATTATTTGGAACTTTCAGTAGCTTTTTATTGGTGTTATGCATTTCCAAACCTTTTTTGCGCTTGCTAGGTTGTTTAATCTTCCCTTTTGAAATGAGAACCAAATCGACCGCATCCTAACTAATAAAAGATGTTTCAACTTCTAATGACAACCAATGTTTAAGTTTTTTTTTTCCCAATAACACTAACCACCCATTGACCAACATAATCAAATATATATACTTGGCCGACGTCAGTCAACATCCTAACTGTAATGCTCACCATTGTTATTTAACATTTGTTATTGATTGATGTTAATAACATTCTACTATTAATACTCGACATTAACCTTCACTAACCAACATAACTTGACATCTATAGTCGGTCAATGTCAATTAATATTGTAGTCCTTACTCCTATTTGTGTCTTATCAACCAGAATCATCTAATATTTGTAGTTAATCAAATTTTTTATCAATTTTGTATTTTCTATGCTCCCCATCTTCCTTCATTGACAGATGTTTCATGACATTTGTAATCAATCAATTCCAATACATGTTCAATGCTACATGCTTATGGATCAACATTCTCTAACAACTATGATTTTAGATGTCAAACAAAATTTAACATCTCACTCTAAATGTATGTGGCTTCTCATCATTGGCACAAGTTAGCTCATAAAATTGGGCATATGTTTATCAAAATCATTTAAATTTCATAATTAACCAAAATCCACAATCGATTAACTTGATTACACCCCACCTTCATGCCCTCCATCACCTTTAGTTAATTTTCACCAACGCACAACATCAAATGTTCCTCTAACCAGTAGCTCTTGGCATACATAATCTATTAATGTCTCATTGCTTCTTATTGACAGTTATTAGCTTAAATCATCGAATGTAGGCCAAATAATCTTCGATAATAATTATAACTAAATAACATCTTATGTTTTAACTAGATACATTTTTATTTATCAATTCTCATCAACCCAGTACCACAATCTTTTATTAACTGGTATTGTTTGAAGTTTTTAATTAACTAACATCTATCAACATCTTAATCTTAATGCCTACTATAGAATTTTCTTAATACCACTGATCAATATTTTTTTCTCTTATTGATATCATCAACTTTCCACAGTCTCATCACCATATTAGGAAATAATCTAAAAAAATTTGAATTCTTACATTCTGCTCCAACTTTTTCTTAGTTATCAAAGAGAGCTAATGTTTATAATATAAACTACAAATAAACTAATACGAGCTAAGTGGAGTAAAGCTTTCTTCAGATAGAGTTCAATCACAAAAATCCAATTCAGGCTTGAGCTCTGTTTAGGTATTTGTAGTGGTTTTTAAGCTCCATTCATTTGACATTGCCATTGTTGAATCCAACTCATTAACTAACGAGACAATTCTTATCAAACCTAATGACAAGTAATGTTATCAAGTTGCTTGTCAGTAAATTGAACTAGCCTTACTGAGTTTATAAAATCATTTTAATGTAGAAATAAATAAGGCTCTCAGTTCATATTAAGAAAAATTATAAATAAATTTTATATAAACATATTATCAAGGCTAAATTAAGTTTTTAATGTATTTGCTGACAAGCTTATAATATTTTTTATGATTATAAGCTATGGAGCACAACGGTTCATTTCAATTTTCAAGCAACATTTGTAAATTATATTTTAATCAATGAATTTATTTAGATTAAATTAGGTCATGTTTTTTTCTTCTTTTAAAAAGTTATATGCCCTCTTTGTGCAACATTCTCTCTTTTCATCTATATGCGTAAAAATTGATGTAAGTCAAGATACAACTCAAAAAGATCATTTGATGAAGTCCCATCATAAGGCTTTGACCCCTAAAAATCCCAACATGCTATGGGAATGCACAAATTACTCACAAAATAGAAGTCCTCTCAGACATCCTTTCTACAGAGACAAGCTTTCCGCACCAGACGCGTCTTCTGCTTCAGTTGGACCTCTCACTCTCTCCCGGTCCCTCTCCCTTTGACGATTTACATAAATATACCACTCAGTTCTTATGTATTTGCATATCAAGCATCTAAACTTCAATTTTTATAAGCATGTCATCTTGTGCATGAGAAGATGTATTTCAATTTTTTAAAATTAACAAGATAATATTTCTTTTTTATTTTATATGAAAGCCTTGGATGGTAGAAATGTAAAAAATAAATTTAG